ATATTCAACTGTTCAAAAAATTCAAATCAGGAAATCTGAAGATCTTAAACTGGTGAAACATTCAATTGACTCTCTCAAGATAGCAGATCGATTAGGAAGTATTCAAAAGATCTCCAGCCAATCGAATATTTCAGTGAAGTCCTGTGAACAGTCGACATATTTTCTGTGATAATCGACTGCGTTTGCTTCCGACGCTTGCAAAAACAAGTTATCAAATTACAGTACCACACTAAAATGTCAAATGACAGGCTCTGTCATACGACATTGTTGCCGAAGACCGTCACGAATGTATGCATTTAAGTTTTTCTCATAATAAGAGCTACTGATGTTGTGCTTGTGTGAATTCTCAAACTAGCAAGCAACGATCGCCTAGTAGTAACACTTTTTATCAGAAATGGATTAATTTACACCAAATTGTGGAATTAGAATGAAATCACAAATGCAGGGCTGTTATAACAGGCGCGGATTTCGCGAATTTCGCGGATTTCGTGATTTTCGCGGATTTGAACTTTCAGTCGCGAAAATCGCGGAAACATTAAATCGCGAAGGGACTGATGTGCTGTCACAAAAATTGTGGAATTCATTGTAACCTTTCCGTTCCGGACTATTTCGCTGTCATCAATTTTGTTGTTCATTTGGCTCTCAATTTCTACCGGTTCAAACCAAACATCCTGCAAATAATCGAGAAATGATCTCAATTCCATAAGTCACACTGGATTTGCACGGAAATTCCCTGAGGTCTGTCCAATGTGAGAGATGGACAGGGTGTCCATCCAACCGGGAAATCCGGGAAAAAACCGGGAAAATGCGGGAAAACCCAAATCGCACCGGGAAAGCTAATGTATACTCATCCTAAGTAACAATTTTGGTTTTATCATAGTCTTGTAGGCCATAATTTGGTCTTCAAGAATCATTTTAACCCTTATAAAACTTGCATTTTTAATATGCATAATTATATTCATTTGTTACACTTCTGTTTACAATTTTCATATTATGCTTTCACTGTGGTAAAGTATCAAAAATCCTCAAAATTACAAAACAAATCTATTATTTTCTTTTATTTGTTGGAGCATGTGGAGCTACCAAGATAGCTTACAGGGTATTTTTTTCTTCTTTCGGTTGTCATTGGATGAACATTTTTTTAATTATTTTGCTACAGTTCTCCGAGTAAAGTAGTGTTAATATAGAGCCTAACCGAGACATATCTTGTCACGAAGCTACTTGAAGATAGAGAAGCAAATTCATGCCAATTAAAAAAATGTCTGATCTCAAACTCCTTGCATACCCGATCATGCTTGGCATGGGAAAGTTCGACACCGGACACAATCAACGAAATTTTAAACTCATGAAATGATTGGTCCAGAGATAAATTAAAAATAATTTCTGCACTTTGTGCTAATCAGGTACACAAGATTAGTCAGGATATCGTAGAATACCTTGAGTAAGCCTGTAAAATATAAAGATCTGTACTTGAAGTACTAATGTACTTGATTATCTTAGAGATAAATCATCCAGCTCAAGCCTAGGGGTAATCATCATTATCATGAACCTAAATCTAACCGGTATAAGTCACGAATGATCCATGAGTGTTAAAGTTACTATAATATATAGTATAATATATAATAATATAATAAATAAATTAAAAAAATAATAATAATGATCTGAACTCCAGGAATTTTGGAAAACCTAAAATTCTAAACCACACAAGCAACATTTTCGATTTCAATGTGGTCTTTAAGTCCATTCTAAGCCTATAAGGCCTCTACAAAACCATGATAAAACTAAAATTGTTACTTGGGCAATTATATTATGGGGCTTCCCGAAGGTTTACCCATTCTATCATTAAGTTGAATCATCGTATTGATAATCTTCAATTATAATTCGAACGGAGACTCAAAATCCTCAAAAGTAGAAATCTAACAAGATATGTATAAACCTGTAAAATATCTCCAATAGAATTTAAATATTTTGGTAACACATCTTTGTATTTCACCAAATGTTTTATGCATATAGAACTTCAACTTCTGGAAGATTTTAAAAGTGTTTAATACTGCGTATTGATTTATGCTGTTTTTCAACATACCAAAACAACATTTAGGCTAAATTTTTGCAGGAGACCCTTTGTTTTTATACGAATTCATGCTTCCATGAGATTTTGGAGATCTAGTCTTTGTTGATCTAGTAAAATAAATCATCTGAACTGCAGGACGATTTGGAGAACCTAGATCATCTGGTATACGTGGAAATAATTAAACATTATCTATATAGACACTATGAATCTAGCTGGAAATATTTTGATACTAAAGACATTGTCCCAATCTCGGTTGATATAGTAGATCAAATTATCTGAACTCCAGGACGATTTGAAGAACCTTGAAAATATGGATTGCATACTCGAAAATAGATCATGCATGATCCACTTTGAATCTGTTTGGATATTTTCCGATACTATTGTAAAATTGTAAAATTGAAGTGCTGGAGGAAATATTCGAAGCAAGCAGTTTCGAATCTTGTTGAGAGGAGCGTGGATTTTCCATTCGGGGCCGGTAACTTAGATGACTCTACTGCTGTTCTTAATAACGCTTTGAAAACGTGTACTAAGCAACTAGTTGAGCAAAAGTTTGTTTCTTAGAAAAACTCGAACAGCTGGTACTATATGGATCTTTTACGTCTTAAACGGAAAAGGGACAAATAGTACAAACAGTTTTGTAGATCAAATAATGACTATCATTGGAGTAGGTACACAATCGCTCGATAAAGAAAACTCGTTGTGAATACATTCAAAGGAAGATTGATCAGCATCAAAACAACAACAAAAAGTTATGGAAAATTTTGAAATCTTTATTAAAATCTAGTAATTGTAAACCGCAGTCCATATCCTTTAATGGCACATTAGAACAGTCAGAACAAGTAATTGCATCTAAGTTTAATTATTATTTTGTAGGCATTTTTCATTATTAATCAATCCATTGAATTGGTCGATGAACCTGACGAAATAAAACAACCAGTTAATAATGGTTGTAGTTTTGAAGGTTTTCACCCAATTACATCAGATGAACTTGGAGTTGTTTGCTTTTCATTAGGAAAATCGGCTGGAGTAGATAATGTTAATGAATCATTTCAAACTGGACTTGTGCCACAAATTTGGAAGGAATCCTTAGTGTTCCCTGTTCAAAAAGTTGCTGGAACGATTAAAGCCGAAGAGTTTCGTCCCATCAACATGTTGTATACATTAGAGAAAATTTTAGAAATTGTTGTTAAAGGCCAGCTGTAGCAAGGAGTATTTAAATATTAATAGTTTGTTGATACCAGAACAATCGGGAAGGTCATTCTTGTGAAATCGCGTTGAATTGGGTATTAGCGAAGAGGAAAAATAACTTGGAGTGTAAAGATACGATTGTTGCTGTTTTTGGATCTAAAACGCGCTTTGAAACAATTTCTAGGCCCTTATTGCTAAGATCAATCAAGCGCTTTGGAATTACGAGTACTGCATATAAATGGTTTGAAAGTTATTTGTCTGAGAGAACTCAACGGACTGTTTTTAATGATTCTGTTTCCAGTCCCGTGGGGAATAACCTTGGAGTTTCCCAGGGAAGTGTATTAGGACCCCTGTTATGTATAATGTATTATAATGACTTGCGACGTGCTTTACGATTTTGCGACATTAATCTTTTTGCAGATGATACTGTGTTATTCATTGCAGCTAAGGATTTTGATGATGCCGTTTTTCACTTGAATGAAGATTTGCGTTCTCTAAGTAGATGGTTGAAGTATAAGCAGTTGAAATTGAATACACGTAAATTTTAATTTATGGTAACTTCGGTTAAATGAGAACGTCTCTGATGTAATTGATGTCCCGACCATTTTTTCTATCCCCTGTATATCAAAATGTCCTATTCAGATTTTTGAAAATAGCTCATTATTTTGTTTTTGGAAAAATTTTATGTGCGTTCCTAATAGTAACTAAGTGGACACTTTTTTCAGTGTGGTGTTCGGAATCGAATCGGAAGACCTTCCGTTCATCGAATATTTTCATATCAAATCAGAATAATCAGAAATTATTTGCAAGATTCATATAATTGATTTTCAAAAATCCTGGACCAATGACTAAGCATGTAAATAATTCTTAGATTCTGAAAAAATACCTTAGCGCAGACCCAATCTTCTAGTTCACTTAGTAAATTTACATACGCTCACTGGTCCAGAGCCTCTTTTCTGATGATCTTAATTAGCCTTTGAATGTAAATGTTTCAACTATAAAACCATACACAGCCAACACGTGTGAGCTCTTCTGTTCTATAAACCCTATTACAGAATCCAATTTACCACTCTAAATGAAATTCACCATTGTATCCTGCTATCGTCATATTACACTCGTTTCTATAATCCCCCTTTCATTTAGAGAACCGGGCTCAAAACCGTAATCCGAAATTGCTGGTTGTTCACCCATTCAAGTGGATTATTATATGTCGGTACGTTCGGAGGCCAAGCTCATTTTTGATATCCTTCACATGGATCCCACTTGTCCAAGCTGGATTGATCCTACAAACATAGGTTCCTACTCCATGAACGAGGAAAGGGGGATAAAATGGTGCTCAACATTATTGCACAGGGCTCTAATTAATCCTCTCATCCGTCCACACACAGCAGCCTTCGAATGCGGAGCTATCCATCCCGGTCTTATGAATTATGACCGACACAAGAATTGGTGCTTATCTCCGACAAGTTCCACTCGAGAAAACAACCACTGGTCGTACAGATAATTTTATTGGTGTCACAAATCACAACCTTGTTAAATTGAATTCACCCCCTCTCTCAATCGACTTTGCACTCACAAGAAATTCCAACCGAAAATCCCTGCAACACGGCAGAAAAATAAACCCACTCAGCCTCTCGGAAAGTCCTTGACGAACAGGAGAAATCGTCTAATATACCTGTACCTCTCTATATGATGAATCCATCCCCAACCCCACTAGAATAATTGATTACCTACTTCACAGGCGTGAGTGCGGCTCAGTGAATAGATTTAAAGGGCTGACGGACAGCTCTGAGATCCCACCAGGAGACCATCCAACAGGCATCATCGCTAATATTATGACAGAGACGAGAAGAACCGGTGGCAGTCGCATCAGTAGCAGTAGCAGCAGCAGCAGCAGTGACAGGGAAACCGTCAGAAGATACCGGCGATATTAGTGCGGCTTCCCTTCTACCTCCCACAACATTCAAGTGACAGTGTGTTGTAGGGAAACCGAGATAGCAAGTGGGTGCGTGTGTTTGTGAAGTGAAAAACCGGGTTCGGAACGGGAAGTGTGCTTGAAGCGGCGCAAAAGAAGCAAGCAAGTAATCAGTACGGAAGGGCACACGCAACCAAAAGCCACCCACAGAATACCGAAGCCAACCCCCCCGGCCCGTCCCACTGTGTGCCACGTTGGGTGCGGGGCCGCGGTGAAAGATGGAATTGAAAGTATGGGTCGAAGGAATACAGCGCATTGTTTGTGGAGTGACGGAAGTCACCACTTGTCAGGTAAGCTATTATCGCTCTCAATGTCTTTCCGTTTCGTTTTGCTTTGCTTTCTCACCGGGGAACCACCTCGCCCACCTTTGGGCGAAGGCAATCCGATGAGCGTTTCGTAGAATTTTTAGGAAAACAAAAACATATCCCAGGAATCAGGATGCTTGAATGAGGTGCTATGGGGTTCCAGATTACCTTTAATCAGATAAGGGACGGTGTTACTTACCAAGTCAGAAATGGCAGGCGCGATTTCCGATCCGGTCTAGATAATATTTTGACAAAAGTCCTGGAAAACAACTCAGAAGAGTATATAGAATATCATTGATGGTCTTCTTGTAGATGTGCTTAGGTGAAGTTCTAAGTTCAATAGAAATGAGATGTTCATGTTGACCCGAACATTTTTAAAATACTTCATTCTAGTTTTTTTTTATTATATAGTTTTCGCACTTCTCAGTAAAATTTCTGCAAGTAACCAATAAGCCAAATAAGTGGCCCTTCTGCTATATACAGGGCTCAACAATACTGATATAGCCGTTGCTCAGCTGTATATAGCCAAAAAGGCGAAATAGCGTGCCAATGGTTACTTAGGCACGATGCCTTTATGCCTAGGCGGTTAGAATCTGTGGATTTTGATCGCCGGGTTGCTTACATCCTAAATTCTAGATAGAGCTGGAATTAGGGCGTAACAGCTTTTGTAAACAATGACTTCATTCGATGATGTGTAGAAAGTCAATGCTCGCCAACGCAAATCAACATCACCTCGGGTAGGGTAAGGCTTCCCCTACCAGACGACTATGTTGGTTTACGTGGGCGCGTCTTGAATTCCTAGACATCATCGAGAGAAGTCATTGTTTACAAAATTTGTTACGCCCTAATTTCAGCTCTATATAGAATTGTTTGCTTCGGTTGGTTCAGCTATTATGATTCAAGAACCGCCAGACAATATTTATGGTTCCAAAAATCACTGCCTTCTTAATGCTGCTAAGGGCCCTTCGCAGTCCCAGCGTCAAGGCAGAGATGCCAGATTTGAAGGCATGTCATTGTGAATATATTTAAAATTATGTCAAAATATGTTTTACCCGCAGAAATTTTGAAAACATTTCATGTTTTGTGACGATTTTTAAAGAAATTTTTAAATTGAAGAAAACTTTTGAAGACTTTTTGAATCTGATTTTGAAAATAGGAGGAATGGCTCTAATGTTGGCCTATGGATCTAAGATTGGGCCCATAGCTAAAAATCTGCTGTTTATCAATTTTATCTAGATGACGGTACTAACGGGTATTTTTGGTCGCTATTTAAAATTTAGTCGATTGCTGGCATTTAGGCTGACATTACATCCATTTCCCCTATATAATAAATTAAAACATCGAGCAACTGGAGCTCATTTGAATACTTCTTGTAGTGTTTTTAGAATATTTGAATAGTTGGAGATCTTCAAAATTATACTTGAGCAACATGAAGTCTTGATATCCAGAGGAATTTATGAAATATTCGGTTAGCTATAGATTTTTTAAGTACTTCTTGACCAACCTGATCAAACTGAAGTCATGAAAAATTAACCAAAGGACTTAATTGAAATCAGCTGAAGATCTTTTAATTAATTCACAAGATTATATCAGATTATGCAATCGACATAATCATAATATTATGATTCGATTGACGGCAATTGAATGTGCAGGAAGGCAGCTTCCACACCTGAGTAGGATATCGCACCCATTCAAACACACAAGTTCGAAGTCGCTCCTTTAAAATTGCCCGAAATTCCGGGCAATTCGGAGGATACCAGGATCCAGAACAACCTTGGAGTAGTGGCAGCTGGTCAAATCGGGCCAAAAGATAACTTTACTCCTATGCTTGCGGATAACCGGCAATACACGCTTTTTCAGGCATTCTTCGATGTAAACTTGGGATGTCATCGTCGAGGATGTGACGAATGTTTCCGTTTTCAGGCCACAACTGCTTGCCAAATCATGGCCTTCTTCGCGAACTTGTCGGAAAACATGAACTTGAATCTTCCCGGAACATCCCCACGTCCAGTCGCGATGTAAAACTTTTGACCGGGAAGCTGCTTAAAATCGATGTGTTATGTTTCGTCATCGATCAAAGTGCAGCCCTTGTGTTTCGTCAAAACATGGTCATGTGCCGGTTCGGATGTTTACTGGCGGTGTACGACTTGTACCCTTCCCTGGCAAGGATGTTCCGCACCGTTTGAAAGTTGACGTTGTACCTTCCGGCCACATCTCGGATCGAAAGACCGGGGACCGAACCTCAACACCTTACTAGCTGACGATCCCTAGTTCCAGTTTTTTTGTAAGTCCACTGATTCATTCCCACACTCAGGGTTTCCTTGTAGGTTTTGAGCACTCGCCAAACTGTTGTTTTCGGCTTGGAACCGGACCACTCAGGATTTTCCAGGTGTTTGTGCACAATATTGTTTTCTTCTTTCGAGTTCCATTTGACGTTATTTCTGAACGCGATCGACTACTTTGATCAAACTTGCACCAGTTGTTCTCTATAGAAGTGTAAATGAACCACTTTTAAAGATTTTCGATTCCCAACACTAGAGGCGTGCTAGTGGTGCGCGAGGGGCGTACCAATTTACTTTTAGTCAGTCTTTAGTAAAAAGTTCTTATTAAGAAAATATCCAGAGTAATTGTAAATTTTCTAAAAATTCCAGATTTTTGTCAGGAAGAATAAAGGACAGAATTCCCAGTTTTTCAGATAAGGGCTGTTCAAGCTATAAAACGGACACACACTTTTAGTTCCAACTTTTATTTGACTACTTAGCATAACGGATTCTTCAGCAAGTTTTAAGCTCTACTTATAAGCAACATAGAAAAATATTAAACAATATATTCAAAGCAGCATGTAGTTTTTGCGAAATTTTAAATAGCATGTGCTCAAAAACGCAATTTGTATACTCAAGGCAATATAACTTGAACACCAGGATAAATGTCCGTTCTATAACTTGAATAGTCCTTAGTAGACAACTGTCATTAACATTATAGGCATTCTCTGCAGACCACTGTTAGTACGTATTCTCTCTATAAATCTCTTAGAAACCACTAACATTGCATTATTCCCTCAAACTTGTAATAAATCACAAGAATTAGTATAATTTGGCAAACATACTTTTGAATTAAAAAAATAAACCAATAAATGATCCATAACTAATTTAAAAACGCTCCTTAAAGAACACCCAAATGATTTATAAAACCCCAGTAAAAATCTCTTAAGATGTGCGAATGATCCATTAAAATATCAATATGATCCATATTTTCAGTAAAATTTAGCAACACAATTTTAAAAATGTACCGCTAAATATCTAATGAATGAGCATTGAAATTGTAAGAATTACCTATACACATATTGCAAATGATCCATTAAACATTCAGCCATGAACCTTAAACTAATGAAAGTGGTTCATAGAAAATCAAGTTTGTGTTCTTAAAAATATAAGCATGATCCATATATTAGACATATACTGTTCATGTTTTGGACACTAACTTTTTGATTTTGTTACATAAACTTTGAAAAGATGTTCCATTACTACGTAGCTACTTAGATTTACTGACATACCCGTGTTTTTGAGTTGGAAGTGCGTCTAGAATTAGCTTCCAAAAAAGCTTCTATAATAATCTGTTTAACACTCTGAGCACGATGCCTCTGGTCAAATGTGTAAAGGCAAACTTGTAATGTTTGAAAAATCATAGTTCAGCTATTTATTGACGAACTTCATGTCTATGGGCTCCACTTTTTTTTACCTTGATTTGTTTTCCGTTGATCTTGTTTTCCGTGCTCAGCACCAATACTACCGACGCCAGGGAAGCAGCTCCCACACCTGGACCCTACCTATCGACCCATCAACTCATGAACCGGAGACCAACGACTTTACTTCCCTTCCGAAGGATGTTATGGCTCAGAACATCCCGGCGGCGCCGACTGGGATTGAACCCAGGCCCGCTGGGGTGAGAGGTAATCACGCTTACCATTACACCACCGGTGCCGCTTATGGGCTCCACTTGAAACTAAAGACTTTAAAGATTTATTATGTATGAATAGGTTTAAAATCTATTGATAATGATTTTTCAAACATTGCCAATTTGCCGTTACGCATTTTACCGGTTGCATCGTGTTCGGAGTGTTAAGAAGCAACCTAGGGAATATTTTTTAGAAGATGCTTATTCTAGATGCTCTTCCATCACTCAGGCAGAACAGTAAACCAGAGTAGCTACGCAGTAATGGGCAATTTTCCAAGGTAAACGGATCAAATTAAAAAAAAAATAGTTTCCAAACCATGAACAATATATGTATAATTTATGGATCGTGTCTATATTTTTAAGTGCGCAAGCTTGAGTTTCTATGGATCACTTTCATTAGTTTAAGATTCATTGCTGAATGTTGTATGGATCATTTGCAATATGTTTATGAGTAATTCGTGCAATTTCAGTGCTCATTCTGAATAAATTTAGCGGTACATTTTTACAATTGTATTGCTAAATTTTACATAAAATATGGATCAAATTGATATTTTTGAAAGATCACTCACACTTTTTAAGAAATTTCCAGCGGTGTTTTATGGATCATTTGGATTTTTTTAAAGAACGTTTTTAAATATGTTATTGATCGTTTTATCAATTCTAAAGGTGCATACGTAGGCTGCCGTATAATTTTGTCTTAATTTTTCTCTACAAAATTCTCTTGGAATATTCTTAATAATTTCCATGGTCCTGCTTGCAGAATTATCTTAAGACTCTTCCCAGTCTTATCTGATAAATCGCTTTAGAATTGCTTTGGAGGTAAGGTCAGAATTGTCTTAGAATTTTCATCGTAAGTACCTTAGCAAAATGGACTTGAAATTACCAGATGTTCGTCTCTATTTAAATCTTTTAAATACCTTAACATTTCATTTTAATTCATGTCGGAATTGCTTAGAAACATTCGACAGAATTCCATTGAAATTATCCGCACGATTCCTTTATTGATCTTCAGAATACTCATTGAAGTCTTC